TAAAGGAGTTAGTAGCAAAAGAAAATATGATTTATCTTTGTCAGAGGTAAATATTAAAACTATTCAATATAATATTAGTATAATTAATAAATATTTCTTTTACAATAGAAAAAAGACAATCTGTATCCAAAGAGCACTACACTACTAGCAATAGTAGCAGTAGTGAATCACCAACTCTAACTTCTAACAAAAAATCAGTATTTTAGGTATATTTATGAATATCAGCTACCTGATATACAAAAAAAATAAAAAGTTTTTTCAAAATATGAAAATAAGTTAGCTGTTATTAGTTCAATTATAGTTACTTATCAAAAATCAAAGTAACTATAATTGAACTAATAATAGCTAGCTAATTTTTATGTTTTGGAAAAACTTTTTGTTTTTTTTTTTTTTGTAATATATTTGACTTTTTTTTTTTATTATAATAGACTGATATTTTGTTATTACTGTCTAAATTAGACTAACAAAATAGACTAGACTCCTTTAAACAATAGTCAGAAATCAAAGATATGTTCCTTTCTAATTCTTTTCAAATCATAAAAAATAATATTATCAAATATAAGGCTAAAGACTATCAAATACTTAAAATAATTCATTAGCAACATTAGTACCAAGAAGGTAAGTATTTGGAAAAGTTAGATCTAAATAGGAATAAATATATTTTAGAAAGGCTAAGAAAAAACTAGCAAGTAGCAGCAGTATATATTATTATTTTTAAGTATATTAGTATTATATAAGGCTAGATAAAATTAATGAATTGGTTTTCATAACTAGGTTAGGTTTTTGTAAATTTTATAGTATTTTATAAAATACTATAAAATTTACAAAAACTTGATCTGATTATAAAAACCAATTCATTAATTTTATTTAGTCTAATTAGTATCTGTTACTTAATTTTTTTTTTTTTGATTTAAAAAATTTGATGATAAAAGAGTAGTTTTGACTATTTGGTCAAAACTGAAAACTGCTCTTATTTCAAAAATTCCTACATAATATGTTTTAGAAATAAGTGGTTTCTGATATCAAATAAATATTGGATAATCAGAACTATCATAGCAAGGAAATATCTAAAACTGATAGTAAGAAAGCTCAACAAGAGCAAGCTAATAAGTTGCAGCTATGAAGCTATAACTATAATGATCGAGTAATCAAAGTATTCAATAAAAGGTAGTACTCTTCAAAAGTAAAACTAAGGCTTATGTTAAGTTTAAAGCTGATTTTATTTTTTATATATTAAACCTGATTTTAATCAGATTTAATATATAAAAAATAAAATCAGCTTTAAACTTAACATAAATAGATATCAGTATTAAATCCCTATATTTAAAATATTTTTAATTTACTTTTAGTTGAAAAAATTTTATAGGACTTTGAAGAAGTAGCTACTACAAAAAGCTCTAAAGAAATTCAGAGATATAGATAAGCCAATGTCTCAACATTAGTTGACACTAACACGATGTCTTCAACTAGTACACCTAGTTAGCTAATTTTCAGGTCTTTAATAGTTCAGAAAATTCTACTAGTACTAGTAATTCTAGTACTAGTAATGCTAAAGACAATAATAGTAAGTATGAACCAAATGATAGTTCTGGTTCTACTCACTATCGCTATAAAACAAGCTACCAAACATGATCTCAGAAAGTTACAGATAAGAATAGTGATACAATTACTATATTAGCAAAAATAATAAAACTAACATAGCTTAAAAAGAAACTGATCAACCAACTATTTTCTAAAGAATGAGTAATATATCGAGAATATATATCAGTTAGTTTTTAAATAAAACTTTTGTACTAATTATTATTATTTTTTTTTATTATGTAGTTAGCTTTCTTAGTATATAAGATATCAGTTAGATTTTTTTTAAAATAAAAACAATTTTCTGTATTAATGCTAAATATTTTTTTTATTAGCTAGGTCTGTTAGCATATCTGATAAGATATCAGTTAGGTTTTTTTTAAAATACCTTTTATATTTAACTTTGTCTAATTATTACATATTATTTTATTAGTTAGTTCTACTAGCACCCTGAGTAAGATATCAGTTAGGTTTTTTTTAAAAAAGGATTTTTATACTAAATATATTATATTTTTATCTTTAGATTTATTATTATATAGAAGTAACTCTAGTCAAATATCAGATAATATAACTGAGTCTATATTTAGCTACCAAGAATCTAGTATAACTATTGGTAAATATATTTGAATTTATTTAATATATAATTAGAATTATATTAATTTTATTTTGCTAAATATAGAAGGTACTGATAATGATAATAATGATATAGTTAATTTACTTGCAAGCTCTAAAAATTTTTTACAAAATCTCCTAGAATCAGAAGTAGAAACAAATTAAAAAATTTTCTTTTTTTTTTTTTGTATTGCAAATTATTATTTTTTTAACATATAGGAGGGTGTCAGTAAAAACCAAGCAAATTGTTTCTAAGTAAATTTTTTTTAAACTTTAGATTAAAATATCTTAACAACTATTAAACTAAACTTGATAAAAATTTTTTTATTTTATTTCTATATAGTTATAGAATCAAAATAAAAAAAAATTTATCAAGTTTAGT